TCTTGACTTTTTTCCTTGAAAATGGAAGTAGCTTTTTTTTTTTTTTTTAAATAATTGGGATAAAAAGGCTCACTTAGGAAAATTTAAGAAAGAAAAAAAATGTAAAAAAAAAACAAAACCCAAAACTCCCTAAATATCACCACTGAGCAATAGCCACAATTAACATTTTTTATATATATTCTATGTAGACCTTTTTTATGCTCAGATGCATTCAGAGTGCCCCCTCCTCCCAATATGTACATCTTTCATGTTTTAGTTTTACACAGATGTGATTATATTATACCTAATCCTTGGTAGTTTATTCGCTAACTTAGTGTGGGCATCTCTTCAAGATGTTAGGTGTAGATCCGTCAATTTTGTCTGTATTACATTCCCTTATTAGGATACAATTTATTTGATTGGTCTTCTAGTGATGTCTATTTGGACATTTTTGATGTTCCTGATTTTCTTTTATTATTAACAACACTTCGATGAAAATCCTTGTCCGTGCATCTTTTCAGAATTGACCCGTCAGTCTTCAGCGCTTTAATCTTTGTCTATGAGTCTTCCCTAATTCTTCTTAAATTTTTATACTAATATCAGTAAAGTTTTACACATTTGTGTATAGATTTAAAATTTTCTATTTGGAAGAAATTTTTCCTTATTAAAATAGGTTTTGATTCTGCTTCTGTTTTTTTTATGAAATATATTAAATGCTAATATTTTTTTAAATCTTTTATTTAAAATTTGTCTCAGAAATTTCAATAAATACAAAATTTCATTTATTGAATGAAATTTGTGTTGGGAAGAAAATCGCTCAATAACATTTTGTATTTCCAGGAGTTCTTAGAATATAGTCAAGGCACATTTCTAATTACATTTGCCTGCCTTCTTATGTCATAAAAAGTTTACTTGCTGAAAGGACGTTTTGGGAGGTTTTGCTATTTATTTTAGCTACTGAATATCTTTTTTAAAGTTTTTTTTTTTGTCTTTTAAAAGAAAACCAGATCTCCTTATGTTAATTTGCTTTGTTAATATGAAGTTTCCTTATCTGTAAATCAGATTGTCTAGAACAGGGATCAACAAACTTATTACAAGGGCAGATAGTATATATATATCTTGGATATGCGGGCCATATGGTCTCTGTAGCAACTACTCAACTCTCCCTTATAGCTCTAAAATAGTCATAGGCAGTATATAAACAAAAAGGCCTGACTGTGTTCCAGTAAAATTTTATTTACAGACATGGGCAGCACGTAGTTTGCTAGCCCCGGTCTAGAACATTACTGACAGTCATCAGTAAAACTGCAAGTCTTTGTAGCAGCCAAACTGTCCATGACAGACAAAAGACGTTCTGAGGTTTATTCTAAAATGTACTGGTCTTTCCATGGAAAATCATCTTCAGTCCTCATTTAAAGAATTTGATTTTACATAATTCTAATAAGCTTTAACTGCTTCTCTAGATGATAGTTAATTAGAAGAGGTAAATTAAAAGAGAAGCACCCTGTTCCTGGTGAATATAATAATAGCAAGAAGTGACAGTTTGACTGGCCAAGTTGAACAATATAGCATTCGCTTATTTTCCAGATATTTACTTTGTACCTGTTATGTTTCAGACACTGTACAAGGTGCTGATGAAATAACAGTGAACAGAAGGGTCACCAGCCTCTACACATAGAGCATGCATGCTAGTGAGGAGAGAGAAAATAAAATAATAGGTTGTGTTGGGTTTGGGCTATGAAATTTTAAGAGGGCACTGCTGACAAGGTAGCATGTGATAATAGACTTGAAGTAAGTGAGGGAGCCATAAATACATGTGGGAAAAAGAGCATTCTAGTAAGAGAAGATAGTAAGTGAAAAAGCCTGAGGCAGAAAAATGCCTGGCATTTTCAAGACAGTGAGACCAGACTGGCTGTAGTGGAGCAAATTAAGTCGAGAGTAGCTAGAGATACTGTCAGAGGTAAGTAGAGCTGCCAGATTACGTAGGATGTTATAGGCCATTGTAAGGACTTTGGTTTTTATTTTGAGGGAGATGGGGAGCCATTGGAGGGTTTTACATAGTTGAGTGACATGAACTGACATTTTAAAAGGATCTCTTGATGTTGTTTAGAGAATTGACTTTAAGAGGGGACAAGGGTAGATACACGAGATCTACTAGGAAGCTATTGCAATAACATAGGCGAGACAGAGTTGGCAATAGTGATTTGATTCTGCCTATCTTTGGAAGGCAGAGCAAGCAAGATTTTCTGATGGGTCCTGTATGTGGGGTGTTGAAGAAAGAGAAATTGAGGTTGGAAGGGTGGAATTGTCATCAGCTGAAATAGGAAAATCTGAAGTAGGAACAGGTTTTATGGTGGAATATCAGAAGCTCAATTTTGGGTCATAGTAAGCTTTGTAGACTTCTTTGGCATTTAGGAAGAAATGCTGCATAAGCCACTGGATCAGGCATTAGGAAACCGAAATTTTAGTCTGTACTCTTCCAATAGCCATATCTAACCCCCAAGGACTAAATGAGTTTTCTTATTTGTAAAATGTCAGAGTTAAGCCAAATGATTTCTAAATATGTGCCCCCTCTCACCTGTGTTAGTACCAGGATCCTTTTGTATTATAAACTGATTATCAAGCTGAGATTAGTGTGTAGGCTTTTGGATCAAACTGCTGCATTGTGTTTTTAGTCAGAACACCTTGGCTCTGTTGCTTTGTCTGTGACCTTGAACAAGCCACAGAAACTTTTTTTAACTAAGACATAAGTATAAAATGATAATAGATGTTTAAGTAGAACTGTGAACTGTAAAGCACTATTAAAATATAAGTGACTCGACAGAGTCATGGAATAAGAAGTTTAGATTTCATACCTGTCAGTTTCTTGCCTTAAGTTTTAGTTGAAAGATTGAGCCTATCACTATCCACTTGTTTTCTTTAGTAATTTATTTGCTGACCTAGCCTAGAAATAGTACATGGAAACTTTAAGCATGGGATATGCCCTTAGATTGTGTGGTCTGAGGAGATAAACATAAAAACATTTTGTTCTATTGCTAGATCATAGTATTTAGATAGATCAATATAGGAAAAAGGAAAATGTCAAAGTAGCAGAAGACATGTAGCCTTGGTGCCTTTAGCTTTAGAATTTTGTTACTGTAAGAAACTTCAAAGATTTTCTGTTTCAACCTTATTGTTTCAGAAGATGGATCAAATGGGGCCTATAAAAATATTAGTAGTAGTAGTAATGCTAAATTGGGCTTGCACTACTTTGTAGCTGTGCTTTATTAAAATTGTTTACTTAGCTTGTGCTGAATATGGAGGCACAAACTGAAGGACTCAGAGGAATGGTGGGAATGAGTCTTTGAACTTTTAATTTGCTTGGCTATATCCAGATCTATCCTTGTAAGTCACCCTGTAGGATGTTTTCACCGGAGGCCTGTACTATACTGCTTATTTCTTTGAATTTGGTAGTGACACTTATTGGCTAAATCAGCATTTGTTTCTTGATTGGCTTTTAGACATTAGCGATCCTACAGATGCTGGGGAAGACAGAGATTCACTTTATGGAAGGGAAGTATTACTATGCAGTATTTAGATATGTTTGTAAATTACCTTAGTTAATGGTGGTAACAATCCTGTATAGTATACATAGTTATACCATGGGACTAAGAAAGATTAAGGAACCTTGCCAGTGCAACATAATGAGAACTGGAACTGGGATTTCAGCTTCAAAACTTGTACATATTCTTTCTATTGCTATGCTGCCTTGATAGCAGAGTTTGCAGTGGGGCAAGGTACCAAAAGAGCTCAGTGAAGCTGCTGCTGTCTTGCTCATTCTCAGTAATTGTTGTTAACTTGATCTTATTTTTTTAAACCTCAGTTTAGTTCATGTTATTTTACTAACTTTAGCAGTTAGTTTTAACTGTGCTCAACTGAGCTTAAATTTAAATTACTTTAAAGTTTGAGTAATATTATTTTAGAGTTCTGAACCATAGTATATGTGAATTCTAGATCTGTTAAGCTTTTTTTAAATGAACATTTCTGGGTGGTTTTGACTTGTCATTGTATTAGCAAGTACCTTCGTAGCTAATTATCTGATCACAGCTATATGCATAGTGCTGCATTAAATAATTCTTAACAGAGGTATTTGAATATCAGATTCAGTATGTTTATGACAAAATAAGGCTAAATTTTCCTAATACTAGTATTTATTTGGAGCCCTGGTGGCGAAGTGGTCAAGTCCTGTGGCTGCTAACTAAAAGGTCAGCAGTTCGAATCCACCAACCACTTCTGGAAACTCTATGGGGCTTTTCTACTCTTTCTTGGGTCGCTATGAGTCAGAATCGACTCAACGGCAGTGGGTAGTAGTAATGAGTAAATATTTGTTTGTATATTTCCCACTTTGGAAATCTATGCCCTGCTTGATGTAAGTAACTCGTGTGACTATGTATTTATCTATTCTCCAGATGTTTGTTAAACACCTATTATGTCAGATACTGTATTAGGTATTGAGGACACCCTGAAGAAAGGAGATAGATGTGGTTCCTGACCTTATGGCACTTAAAAAAGCAAATCAAAATTGTATTACATGCTGTAAAAGAAAAAACTGAATTGCTAAGTAGAGAATATCATGGCAGTTAGTGAGGGTGAAGTTTACACTGAGATCTGAGGAATGGAAAGGAATTAGCTATGTAAAAAGCAGGCAGATGGAACATAATATGAGAAGGCTCTATGATGAGAGAGAGCTTAGAATGCACAAGGAACTGAAATAAGAGCAGCATACCTAGAGCTTTTTTG